ACTGACCAGTGGCTGACTACAGGAAGCCCGAGGCAGAGTTGCTCTGCCCTGGGCTTCCTGGAATCAGCTGCTGATCAGTTTCAGCAGCGGCTGACTTGGGGACGCCTGGGGTTCTTAAGTTGAATCTGTATGTAAGTGGAACTGGTGTCCAGATTCAGCCGCTGTTGAAACTGATCAGTTTCAGCAGCGGCTGATGCCAGTTCCGACTTACATACAAATTCAACTTAAGAACAAACCTACAGTCCCTATCTTGTACGTAACCCGGGGACTGTCTGTACATAATTTCTAAAGATTTTTCTCCCATTATTGCACAAATTCTGGCTTTTAATCCCACTTGATTAGGATGAATTCAACTAAACTGCCATTTGGCTGCATATTATTTATGCACAACTTTCACTTCTATCTTGAACCTTTTAATTCTACTTGTATTAAACTGTAGCATGCTCCTTAAGCGTCATGTATCCCAGCACGAAGGTGGAGAAGCTGTCTCTTGTGTTCCTCGGTGACGCAATGCGTTTCTTTGGGGATATACAAAACCAATTCTTTAAGCAGCAAATAGTGCAGTGATGACTAGACCTTAACCAAGTAATGCTACATACTTCTGCTTGGGTAAATTCACTTTCCAAAGCAGATTGGTTTAAAGGACTCATTTAGGTCACAGCACAAGCCTAGATTTTTTTATTTGAAAAGCAAAATGAATCCATTTCATAGAATCTAATTTAATGTCATGAAACTTCAAGTAAAACGTTATTGGGTTTGAAGCCTCAAATGGCACAACATTGAGTATTGGGAAGCAAAACACCACTGTGCACATTGGTGGGGTGGGGTGAAGTGCTAAAAACGGAAACTGGGTGCTGTAAACTAGTTGTAAAATTCTTTATCGATAATGTGATGTTTGGAACACCGGGAAATGAGTCTTTAAGGACAGACGCTCCTGCCTAATGATTAATACATCTGCATATGGCAGCTGTCCGTTGTCATGTGTCCACTCCTGCTGCCACTGAAACGAAGGAAGTCTTTCTGTATTGTTTCCTTGTACTTCCCCCGTCTCTATCCACCTCTGTAGTTCACATCTTCTGCTTGGATTGTAAGCTCTCTGGGGCAGGGGCCATCTTTTGTTGTTAAGCATCAGGGTGCCCTGCATTGTGAATGCGGCTCCTTGGCACGCTACTCCAATATAAATACATACTGGGAGTTGGATCAGATTCTTTGTGAGGAGGGGGGAGATATTTGCAATTGTAGCTGTGACTGCTGTAACCGAAATAGAACTGGCATGTGCTGTCTTGCAGTGAAAGGGAAATAAAATAATCTGCCTACTAATCCACTATTATACCTCCAGGGGGGACCTAAAACAGCACCTGCCAGAGCATGCATCTCCTCTTAAATGTGATTGTAACATTCCTTTCTCTTTGACAGGTATTCGGTCAGTAAGCTTTTATGAGCACATTATAACAGTGGGAACAGGACAGGGTTCTCTGTTGTTTTATGACATCCGAGCCCAAAGGTTCCTTGATGAAAAACCCAACCACACCTGCCGTGGACAAAAACAGAAACTAGGAGGGAGTGAAATTTTAAAGTTGACGACCGGGAAAGGCTGGCTTGTGAGTAGCTTGCAGCTATTGAAACACTTCTATGTTGGGATTGATGCTGCAGGGCTTGAAGACAAGTTAATTTTACAATTTTGGAAACTACGTATCAGTTGAGCTCCACTAAAGCACTGACATGGGAACTGAAATCTGTTGAGCCGTTCCTCAGAAATGATGACCTGTGGGGAAGGTTTTTCTAACTTGTTGCAGTTCTTTGAAAATATAAAGTGCCATTTGCAATGTATTGTATTGCACTGTAAATCTAAGTGCTCTTTAAAATAAGCTACAATTTTAGACCAGGCAGAGAGAATTGATGGTGCAGAGACTTATAGCACATTCTAGTAAGTCTGAATTTAAATGTTAATTCTAATTCCTATTTTCCAGTTGCTCATAACTACCCATCAGTTACGGTTACTCTTGTTTTTGAAAGCTTCAGCAAAATATGGTGAAGCAGTAGTGAATTATGCAGTCTTGACAAAATATTCTCCGTGCAAAACCGCTACTAATGTACAAACTTCGTACGCTGCTATTTTGTAGTTCTTATTGAGATCTCCAAAATAAATCTTGATGCTGAGCATTGGTAGTGTGGCATTTGCTACACACGTGCAAAGTAAATCTTAGGTGGTCATAGTAGACTTAGGCGATTTGTTTGTGGTCTAGAAAACTTAGTCCTGGAGGCCTAGGTTAGGTGTCTGAATTCAGGAGTGATCAAGATCTGAAATAAAAAAGAAGTCTATACACCCACTGCTTCATTGGAAAAAAACGCTATTTCTATTTTATACGTGTCAAATAATATATTCTACTTTTATTACAGGTTGAACCTCTCTAGTCCGGCACTCTCTCTGGTCCAACAACACCTGTGGTTCGGCATGATTTTACTTAGCCAGATGTTCACTAATCATGGGTGTGGCCAACTTTCCCACTGTCCCATAAAGTTTGTTTACAGCCACCAGTCCTGGCTCTCAGTGCTCTGTGTACAGATGTCATAGAACTGGAAGAGACCTCAGAAGGTCATCAAATCCAGCCCCCTGCTCTAGGCAGGACCAATCCCAACTAAATCAACCCGGCCAGGGCTTTGTCAAGCCGAGACTTAAATACCTCTAGGGGTCGAGACTCCACTGCTTCCCTAGGTAACCCATTCCAGTGCTTCACCGCCCTCCTAATAGTTTTTCCTAATATCCAGCCTGGACCTCTTGTTCTACCATCTGCCACTATTGAGAACAGCCTCTCTCCATCCTCTTTGGAACCTCCCTTCCGGAATTTGAAGGCTGCTCTCAAATCCCCCCTCACTCTTCGCTTCTGCAGACTAAATAGACCCAACTCGCTCAGCCTCTCCTCATATGTCATATGCTCCAGCCCCCTAATCATTTTGGTTGCCCTCTGCTGGACCCTCTACAATGTGTCCACATCCTTTTTGTAGTGGGGGGCCCAGAACTGGACACAATACTCCAGATGTGGCCTCACCAGAGCCGAATAACGGGGAATAATGACATCTCTGGATCTGCTGGCAATGCTCCTCTTAATGCAACCTAATATGCCATTTGCCTTCTTGGCTAAAAGGGCACACTGTTGACTCATATCCAGCTTCTCATCCACTATAACCCCCAGGTCCTTTTCTGCAGAATTACTACTTAACCGGTTGGTCCCCAGCTTGTAACTATACTTGGGATTCTTCCATCTCAAGTGCAAGACGCTGCACTTGTCCTTGTTGAACCTCATCAGATTTCTTGTGGCCCAATCCTCCAATTTGTCTGTCACTCTGGACCCTAGATCTGCCCTCAAGCATATCTACCTCCCACTCACTTATTGTCATCCGCAAACTTGCTGAGGGTGCAATCCATCCCATCATCCAGGTCATTAATAAAGATATTGAACAAAACCAGTCCTAGAACCGAACCTTGGGGCACTCCGCTAGAAACCGACCGCCATCCTGACATCGAGCCATTGATCACTACCCGCTGGGCCCGGCCTTCTAGCCATCTTTCTATCCATCTTACC